TGTGTGTGTGTGTGTACAGTAGTGACGTCGTCTCTCATCACAGCTTTATTACTGTGTGTTTAATCAGCGGTGCTGCAGCAGGATCTGTTGATTAATGAGAGAATCAATCGATCAATCAATAAAGACCTCATTGTGTTTGATTCTCTGATCTTTCTGAAAACATGTTTTTCTGTTTATATTTTGAAATATGAAAGAAAATCCTGCTTTTAACCAGATAAAAGAGTTAAACAGCTGCTGTGACTCTTAGTGCTGCTGAATGATAATAAAATAATTATTGTATTTAAAATAAAATAACAACAAAAAGCTACAAGACGGCATTTTATATGACCCCTGCCTATATTAAAACCTAATCTTTTCTTATTAACTATTTGACCTTTGCCAGTATTTTGCGCCCAACTAAACAAGTTTGTAAAATAGAATTGTGTTTTTATTGTAACTGTATGAGTTTCAGTCCTAGTTTAAAATCTTGCAGGACAGATTATATAATACTTTTTTGACGTGTTGTGGGCCAGAGGGAGGGGTTGAGACTTAGACAGTAAAACAGACAATGTTAGAAAAGCTCAGGGAAAGAGAAATTAGTGTAAAACATTTGTTTCTGAGGTTGACGTATCTAAAATAATCTGGAATGATTGCAACCATTATTAGTTAAAAAGTGTATTTAGTTAAAGGCTGTAAACGTGTTTATTTCTGCTGTAGAGTTTTTAATATTGGGCCTCTAGTGGACGTTTGAGGAATTGCAGCTTTTGGCTTCATTTGCTCTTAATGTGAACACAGATTTCACACTTTGTTGCACTGATAATGAGACGTGTGTATGTTAAAATAAAAGCGTCGGGCATTAAATACATTTCAGACCATTAAGGTTTACAAGTAACAGGTTGAATGATGGAGTTTTTCTTTCAGTAAGCACCCTAACAACACCCCAGGGCTGCTTGGTGTGATTAACATAACAAATACAGCCTGTGTGTGTTTCAGGCTCCAGCGCAGTGAAACAGGCCTGTGGTGGCAGGTTGACATTAACATTAGACTGTATGTTCTCAGGTTTGCTGTAAAGGAGGATGATCTCTCTCTGCTGTGACTGATGTTGTTTTTTCCTGTGTTTCTCTGCAGGTGGAGAGGGAGATAGCCATTCTGAAGCTCATAGAGCATCCCCACGTTTTAAAGCTACACGACGTCTATGAAAACAAGAAATACCTGTAAGTACAACGTGTCCACGCTGCATTCGTTGTTGATTAAGGAGTCGAGATGCAACTGGTACGACTGAATAAAGAGGAACATGAGGAGTTGTTGGAAAAAATGTCTTTATGGCTGTGCAAAGCAATGACTTTATTGCTGAGATCTGGTGGCAATTCATCAGGATTAAACAAGGATTAAAGGAAATTAATGTTTGTAAAAAAATCACAAAAATGCCCCAAAAAATCCCATTACAGTAATTTTTTAAAAATATCTGATCCAACTTTAACAAGCAGCTGTTAAAGGTCCAAAGCAGTTGTATTAGATCTCTAACATCTACATGCTAACATGCTAACATTATGATGTTATTTTAAGCGGATTAAAGATAAATGCTGTTGTTTATTTTATCAAAAGAAAAATGTATTTTTCAATGACTCAATTGACGATGTCAGGACTATAATATGTTTGTTGTAATATCTGAGTTTCAGGCAGTTTTGACCACGCTACCCTTTACTGTGCAGGTTTGAGTGATGACGTCACACAACTACCTGTAGCTAAAATAATGCAGCATTTGCAGATCAGACTTGTGTGACTTTTTTCAAATTATTTGAGGTCAGAGATCAGAGGTCAAAGGATCCCCTTTGAAAAATAAGGCTGTCTGCCAGTTTTCCTCCAAAGTGCCTGGCAAACGTTATTTACGCCTCCTTGTCCGACATTCTAGGCAAAATCAACATCGGTTGGAAGAGCTGAGGACCAGAAACTCATCAGGAAAAACTGTTTACTGAGCTCCATAAATCAGCTGAGAAGTCGGCGTCATTTCTCCCATAGACTGAATGGTATCAAGTTTATATTGCAACCAGTGGAGCCGCCCCCTGCTGGCCATTACACAGAATGCATGTCTAAGACACTTCACAAAGCTCTGTCTGTTACATACACCGTCAGTGGTTGGCGTCTGGACAGTGAGTTAAACAGCGTTAGCAGGAAACTTCCTTTAGAGGCTTTGAGCTGAGAAAGTGTTTTACTAGAAAAATCTGCACTGTTATAGTTTATATTTCTTCACACTAGTAAAGGAGAGCTTTGGTTCGATTTTAAGCGCTGACAAACAACATGAGTGTCTTTACTGTAGCTCCATACAGCAATTTTATTAAAGCATGAAATGTTTTATTGCCCCCCCTCCTCCCTTTAACCTGCCCCCCCGACTGCGGCGCTTTAATATATACCCGTGTTTTGTTGTATACATTAATCTACTGCGTGTGGCGGCTGTGCTCCAGTGGCATGCCTTAATGCGCTGTTCAATAATTGATAAAGGCCTCGCTGTCAGACAGAGCGGGAATTTGTTTTCTTAATGTAGCGAGGACGGGGACCGGTGGTCATCACGAACGCAAACCATTTGCAGCAGAGAAAATTTCACAGTCACAAATCACAAGTGAACATGTTTCTAATTTAAATCGCTCTGACAGGTAAACGCTCGAGCAGATCCCTTAATCTGCTAATAAATCAGTCTGTAGGGAGGCGGCGGCGGCGGCGGCGGCGGCGGCTCCCCACGCAGGCCGAGGATCAGAGATGTCCCTGAGACGGATGAAATAGATAAAACATTTTAAACCAACGAACCAACGCGGGTTGGGGGATTTTCTCAAGGAGTTACATTCCACATGGACGAACTATGTAACTTCAACACGTCGAAACCAAATACTTAAGATACTGAAGTTTATGAGTCAGTTACTTCATTAATGCCTCTTTCACTTTCAGGAACAATTAAACTCTCTTCTTTCTGGACTCAATAGTGTTTCAGGAAATAACTGACTCGTAAAAATACAGTTTTTGCTTTAATTTTACCCAAATTCTTGTGTAATATTTTGTCTTTAATGTTTAATTAAAGATATTTACACTGCAAAAACAATTAAATGATCTATACAGGTGAACACTGCTATAATACAAATAATCAGGCTTAAGTTTACAGAAAGTGCTGTTATTATTTGATAGACAAAAACATCATAACTTCATTCAAAGTGGACAGAAGCTAAATCAAACTCACCAAAACCGTCTCTGTTAGTCTTTCCTACAATCACCAACTCTGGTTTGGTGGAAATAAGATGGTGATAAAAACAGCAGTTTCAGGCCATTGAGGTACAACAGACCCAGAGCGGATGAGACTGTTTGACTCCACTGTATCTTCAGTTGTTTGCTGATATATTGATTAATCTTTGATCATCATTTGAACTCTGCAGTAAGTTTTCAGGAACTGAAATGTTGTTCACTGATTTCTATTAAGCGAACAAAGTCGGGTGGATTTTCTCAACGTGTCGAGCAGCATGCAGACCTTCAAAAGATACGAAAGAAGAAAAATTCTGTACATTTTGCTGCTAATACTTGTCGATTAAAAGACGTCTGACCTGTTTCTCTTCCCCTGCAGGTACCTGGTGTTAGAGCACGTGTCCGGAGGAGAGCTGTTCGACTACCTGGTGAAAAAGGGCCGGTTAACACCAAAAGAGGCCAGAAAGTTCTTCAGACAGATCATCTCAGCCCTGGACTTCTGCCACAGCCACTCCATATGGTTCGTTACCTTTACAGACATCATATATATACACGTTTTAGATATTTATTCCACAGTTGCTTCAGATTTTGTGCAGGTAAAATGAAAAAGGAGCTGTGGGATTATACAAAATGTCTGCAGGTGCAAAAATCACCCAAATAGGTGCAAATGTAATGTGTGTGTGGATCTGCAGCACTTCTTAATCAGACATAAAGGGAGAGAATATAGTGAGAGCAGACACAGAGAGATAAACTGTCTTAATAGTTCAGATGATGAAAACACTT